ATTTCAGACCATAATGACCTGTAATGAAACCCGTTATCAACCTTAAATTACATTTTGAGAATTTAAGAATTTCTTTGAAGGAGTACGGTGTTCTCAGTGCTTTGCTTTGTCTGAGTCCTGGAAAGTTTACCCAGTACTCCAGCCGCATATGATTTTCCATTTCCTTGATAATCTGTTTTGTACTGGCCCAGTTTATTCCACAAAAGGGTTGAGGGATTATAAAAGCAGTTTTTGATGCAGTTCTGGCTAGCTCCTCAGCTTTTTCATTTCCCAAAACTACTCTGTGGCACGGAACCCAGTAAAGGCTTACCTATATCTTTGTGATTTCTCCTAACGAAAATCGATTATAATACTCATACATATGCGATGTTATTGTTTTGCAGGCACTCTTTTTTTATTTATACACTACCGCAAATAAACCGATTACACAAAATTTGAAGTATTACACAAAATAAAACAAACGTCAAGCTTCAAGTATGTTATAGAATTATTTTACTGACAAATCTTTTGGTCTGTCAATGTAGGACTATTAATTTGTAGCCTAAACGGCGGGAATACTAAAGATTTGTTGAAGATTGCTTAACATGTCAATAATGAAAAGGGGTTGTGCAGTTCCCTCAATACATTTTTAATGTTGAGGCACTTGGGTGCACAGCTTTTGAAATTCACAAAACCCAAACAACCTATGAGAACTGTCAGCCGTGCTATAGCATACGCAGAGAGGCTAGTAGGCCAGCAGGCACGCAGGCAGGCAAGCATATAACTTGCGGAATTTTAATGTTTTGATTTTTATTAAAGTGAAATGTTGGTAAATATATCTTTTTTTTCTGAAAGTTGTTGACAATTAAATATTTGCTACTCTTTTTTGGTTATAAAATATTTCTTGACGTCGTTCATTTCGTTTCGCCCTTTTTTAGGTGTTTTCTCTCACGGTCTGGTTGTCAATAATTAAAAAAATTGTTTAAAAATATATACATATATATATGTAAAGTATATAAGCAAAAGAGAAAAAAATGACAGTATCTCACCGGAATATTTTTACATTCCAGCAGCAAACTGCGCAAAGTACACAAACAAGAACAACACGGCAAAGGACGTGTTGCAGTCCTGAACGCAAGTCCCAGCCCCTACCGGCCTGTTTTGCACTGCACACACACACGTCGCGGAAGTGAAAAGTTCAGTAAATTGTGGCATAATTGAAACGTCAATTGAGCAAAGGGTTTTCATTAATATTAAACGTTAAATTAAATGTAAACAAAAAGCCGCTTTTTTTTTGTTTTAATGAAATATAAGTGAGCAGAGAATTTTATATGGGAAATGTGAAAAATTGTTACCATTTCATAAAGCCTTTGATGTATACAGTAACTTTCATCTGAGAATTCACAGCATTTCACAACGTTACTCTAAGGCCGATTTATAGTCAGAGAGAAATTTACAGAAGGGAAGGGGACTTGAGGAGCTGAACGGTCCCGTAGCCAACTAGTAATGTAGGAATAGGATTTAAATCGTTTATATACTAGTTCTGAAATGTATTAGTTAACACTACGTCTACACTCGCTAGACTTTGACCAGATTTTTGCTTACACTCTCACATTTTGACCAACGCACACCAATTTATATTCGCATACAAAATTCGCATCAGAACATAAAAATCTCGCCAAAGTATAGCCAATGTAGATGTTAAGTGAGACCTACACAGTACTTAAGAACATTTGACCTACTTCACAACACCATAACAATAAATATTAAAAATACATATGTAGAGGAATGGCTGTATATATCCTTTTCCGGATTTGTTGAAGGTGTTTTTATACGCGTGAGGTTATAGTCGAAATATCGGTTTATATAAAATTTTTTAAAAACCTACTGACCAATTATTAGTAATTTTTTTTAAATATATCTGGAGTATTGGAATACACTCTTAGTATGACTAAAAACAAACGAGGCAACTATATAGGTATATATTTATAACTAAGACAATTGTTTTACTGTCAATATAGTGTATTAAATATCAACCGTTTTATGATTTTGCTTGAAAATAAAACACCCAACTTGTATTTTGATTTTCAAAGATAATAGTTATTTTTAAGTTTTTCTTGTTTTTAACGCAAGAATAATAATAATTTTTACGTTTTAAAATGAAAAGCAGAATGTTCAAGTAACTTGTGTGTGAAAAAATAAAAAACAAATAAAAATAATCATTTTTTAAAAATAAAATTTAGTTAAAATTTCTTAATTTTGTCTCATATGGCGACTTATTAGTTGACTCTTTTTTTAAAATACCAACTGTTACGGTCCTAGATGTATTTGAAGTAGTGAAGCCTCTCAATGCTTTGGGACTTTGAATACAATATTATTTTTCAAAAATTTATACGGATTAAAATACATACCAAAATAAAGTAAAAACTCTTTTAAGTGGATAATAGGTATCTTTTGTTCTAACTTTTGTTCGTTCTAGAGAGGTGTTTAAAAATTTGGTGTAAAAAAAATTGTATTCGGAAATGGTGTATCTGTAAAAGAAAGTTTTACCTACATTGGGGTAGGTTATTTTCATAAATTATTTTATCGTATATTATTATGCTATAATAAATTTTATTTTAACATATATATTGGAACGCCTAGTTTGGGTATCCTCTCAGTATTTCACAAAAATGCATTGATATTATTCTTAACCAAATACTATAGGCATAAAATTTTGGAGAACAGCATCTTAATACTTATCTGTATGAAAACTGACGTGTAACGAAAAAGAAAGTAATGAAATTTTGATCTTTTATATTGATGGAGTACTACCTAATGGCAACTATTTCCCGTATAAAATATTACTTCAGTTCAATTTTATTATATTTGTGAACTACACACGACTACAACCATGCCCAGTTCCTTGGTTTCAGGGAATTTAAAAGCAACAAACTTATAATGAAATAAGCAGATAACACTCTCATAGGAAAGATTTTAATATCTGCTCAATATATAATTAAAACCAATACAACCAATGAATTTATTATTATTGTTAGGGGATGTGGCACTGCGACCATCGGGCCTATTGTGCCCCCTTCTGGGTTTAGAGTAGATCTCTAAACCCAGAAGTCCAACTTCAAAACGTCGACATTACTAAAAAAAAATAAATTAAATATAACGTGTTAAAGTTTTTCATATTGGAATGAGGCCTATTTCGAATTTGTAAGTTACTATTAGTTTTTGAAGTGACCATGAAAAGCAAAAAAACTTGTTATTTGTTTTGTTCATATATATTCCCACTTTACGCAATTCTCACTAATAGGACAGTAAAGGCTTATCCAACTCTATCACTTCTCAACAAAATGGGACAGACAAAACGACATAAGTGCCTAAAAAACGACTTCTTGTCACATTCTGTATTCCTGCTCAATTTGTTCTGGAGTAGGAGAAAATAACTCTTTATCTTGTCAGTAATCAAAAACTCCTCGATTACCTCCTCGACACTTTCGTCTCTGTTAGGAAAACAGAATGCCACCAATTTTAGTAAACATATACTAAATATAATCTATCTAAATTATAATCTATTTAAAGCAAATATTTCAAAACTAAAAACATTTTAAAAATATGAAAAAATTAATTTTTTATAAACAATTTATTGTTTAATAAAAATAATAAACAAAATTCAAATTCATCTCAATAGTTTTTACTAATAAATAATTTTATTAGAAATTGATATTTATTTAATATATTTAATATATGTAATATTATAATATTAAAGTAATATATAATATATATGCAATATATACATAATAATATATAATATTAAACATTAATAATATTTAATAGTTATAATAAATTGTTATTTAATTAGTTTTTTATTGTTACTATTGGACTTATATCGTTTATTTAACACATTAAATTATGAATGTTTTTTAAATGAAAAATTACACTTTGGTGTTAAATATTTTATTATATTTTAATTTTCATAAAAAATTATTTCATTGTTTTTCTTAATTTTTGTTTTGCTTTTAAAGTAATAAATTTAAATATTAAAAATATCAAACATCTCATCGGAGCAAAATACAAATAATTTTTTTTAAAAATTAAAATATAATTAAATATTTAACATAAATTTATGTGTTATTTTTTATTTAAAAAAACATTCATAATTTTATGTGTTAAATAAACAATAAGAATAAAGAATAAAAAGTAAGAATAAAAAACTAATTATTATTATTAAATTATATACGTAATATAATAAAAAGGAAAAAAAAATTTAATTAAAAAATTAAAATAAATGAATGCTTTTTTATTTCTTTTTGTCAATATTATTTAATGAAAATATTAAATACATTAATTAAATATATTAAATTAATTTATGAAAATATTTTAGTTTTTAAGTTAACATCTCTTATCAAAAAATCGAATAAGTTTTTAAAATTAATTTTAATTTTAAAATTTTCACTAAAATTCGATATAAAAGTTTTTATAAAATAATAATTTATATACTAACTTAAATTGATTTAATTAATTAAAGCTTCACAAGATAAAACTTTCTTATAAACTATTTTAGCAACTTGAATTAATGGGTTAAATAAGTTTATTATATAAATCTTGATTTCTTTATAATAAATCTTATAAATAAAAAATTAATTAATTTAAAATTTGCAAATATGAATATTTAAATTAATTAACATTTCACAAAATCATAAATTTAGGAGCGTTTTTTCATTTTTTAGTTTTTTCAAATTTTTTTCTTAAATTTAAATATTTTAATTATTTTAAATTTTAAGTAAGTAGTGAGATAATTTAAATATGGCAAAACTTATTATTATTTTATAGAGATGTGTTGAATGAATGTATTTTCAAAATTTTTAGAAAGGTTTACAATTTAAAGTTTTTCGATTTTTTTTTGTAATAATTTTCTGAACGCAACGTTGGGCCAACAGTTTTTTGAGTGTATCTTCCACCAGAGTATTTCGTTGGTCGTAGTTGAGGTGTTGCGTGAAATTTTTAAATTGTGTAATTTTGTCACATACGCCGTCCCACAGCCAGGGAGATGTTTTTTTGTGATGAAAAACTTTACTTAAAACATAGTAAATTTTTACGGCATCCCGTCGGAGCTTTTCAATTTCATCATCCGTACTAATTTTTCTATTACTTGCTCTGGATACCCATGGTTTTGAAACTTCAACAAAATGGCGTACATGAGCTATTATATCCATGCAATATGGAAATCTTATTAACAGCAATGGAATAACTTCATGTATATCAAACTTATTCCATATTTTGAACTCATCGTCGATGAACGCGTCTTGCAATCCAAGATATTTACGCACCTTTCGACACTTAAACACTTCAAAAAGCTCAGTCAGATATAATTTTCTTGCATCCGACATTCCGCTAAGTAAGCGACGTACAAATTCAGTAATTATTAAATCTATTGGAGGACGTAAAACGATTTGATCCCTAACAGATTTAATTTTGATTCGCCGCGCTTCCAAATCGTTTTTGAGCTCTTCTGCTTTTTTGCGTGCTGCCACTTCCCATTTAGTGCGCTGATAATTTGAAGCAAAAGATAATGGTTTTTTATAGTCTAGGTTAATACCGATGAATACTTCATTTTTTATTAGACATAGCAACAAGTTAGGCGTTATTCCATCTTCCTTCTGACAAGTTCTGGCAATGTCTAGAAATAAATAATTAACAAATAGTTTTTGTTAAAATATTATAATTGATTAATTATGATAGGCTTTGTCATTATGACATATATATATCATATATATATATATATATTATATATATATATATATATATATATATATATATATATATATATATATATATATATATATATATATGAGTATGATACATTAAAAGTACATAGGCTTTTTTCAAAATAATTACTTACCTTCCAGATTATCTGTCTCCATGTTAACATCATCGGTTTGATCATCACCTTCCTTCAGAACCATCTTCTTCGCAGGTTGAGCAACAGTAGTATCGTACACTTCATTACAGCAGTCCCGTTTACGTTTCACATTTGATTTCATTTCATTGGGCGGAACGTTCTCTTTGTCGTTTAGTGTTTCAGTTATCTTAATAAATAACTCAGCAGGATCACTAGCTTTACCCTTCAACACAGATTCAATTATAGCGATGCCATCTCCATAAAAGCGCCTTTTTAAGTTTTTCTCCGTTGCATATTTGTTCTTATTTTCATGATAGGTGAATAGATTTTGTCTGCTGATGTCTCCCGTTTCCTGAGTCCCATAAAAGTACACGGAAAATTTGTTGATATGGTGCACTTTTGTAATTTTTGCTGGCCATGGTGGGAAGCCTCTAACTTTAGCAAAGACTAGTTGGCCCATCTTCAGTTTCTTATGCTCTTTGGATGTTACATTCATGATTTTCATATTGACGAGCTTTTTTCCGTTTACTGACATTAAACTGAATATGATAAAAAATAATATCAAACACGATTTACGGTACTAACGACTATAGACACTCTTTCGCTGAATTTTTCGATCTGAATCCTTGTGCGCTGATACAGTCTATTTATAATGAGATAAACCCTCAAATGAAATGTGTACGTGTACCAAGTCTTGTCCTTCTCTCTTGTCTCTTTTTGCAACAACATCAACGATCCAATTTACGAACCAATTTATGACGGTTAATTTAAAATTTTGCGGAACAGGTAGGTAATATCTAAATAACCCGTAGTAACTACATTTCCTAGAAAAATTTAACTTATTAAGCATTAACTAAGTAAACTAGCAGAACTAATTAAAAAAGTAATAAAAAATGTTTACTTTCAGCTACCGATGCCTTTCATCCTATTCTGGAAATTTTTAAATTTGTTACCATAAGCCTGCAGGTAGGTGTTTCACTAAAAATGTGTTTAAAATAATTATTTTAGCTATTGTCTTATTTTAGCTATTATTTTATTTTATTGTCTACAATAAAATTTCTAGAAAATATAACATAATTTGAAAATCCTTTTGTATCTATTATATAAAATTACTTCGAAATTCAGGAGCCTTTATTTAGCATCGTAATTGAATATTAAAATAATTAAGAAAAGTTAAAATTAGTTACTAATTTATTTGTTCAATATAGCCAATCATAGATAACGATCTTTGTTTTCAATCTTTTATTCTTTAGGTTTAATGGTCTATTGATTTCTAAGAACTGTACGATTACAAGTGTAGTGATATTTGTTCTCTATTAAAAAAATATAGACTAGTATACAATTGATTCACACTAAAGAGTTGAGTCAAACATCAATATAATAAACTTATGATCAATTTTTTTTAAAAAATTTAAAACAAATTGATAATAAATTAACCAGATATGTTAGACAAAAATGATATATGTATTTAATTTATATCCAGTAATATCTGAACCTTATATTCAAGATCATGAACAAATATTGCAAACACAACATTGTGTGAAATCAAGGATAGGAAGGAACCTGGAACATTAAAACTCAAAGTAAACTGACAAATCTTTTTGTAGCACGTGAGAATCCACGCTGAGATGCTAACGAAACTTGGACGATGGGATTGATGAGTGGCTCCGAGACGCAGATTCGTCCATTTTTGCACAAATCTTCTAATATGGTGTTTAATATACGATAGGATACAATATAAATGACATTAAGGGGTTGCATATAAATAGTAAATATCTAAAGATATGTATTTATAGTTGTGCAACCAACTGAAACCATATCAGTTGGTTGTTTGTTTTAATTATACGAAAAACAAATAGGTCTCCAGAGTAATCAAACTTTCCTGCACTTCCATTTAGTATATAAATATATATATTAAATTAAAACATAAAAATATATTAGTAGTTATCAATGTTATTTTATGAATTTTTTATTTATATTTATATACATAACAATCTACATAAGAACTTTTTGACCAACAACTGATTGCTTCATACATGTTAATCTGTGAATGCCACATTGATTCGGTCTTCTGTTTTTCGTCCTTGTTTTCTGTTTCTTAAGGTTATTGTTCCGCAAATGTCTTTAGCTATTAAATTCAAATAAATTATATAGGCATTACACAAATGTCAACACAATTGATATGCAATAAAATAAAACATTCTGTAGGATATTAAGGCAATTAAAGTTGCATTAAGAGCCAAGTAAATCCATATAACAGACAGGCAAATCAAACCGTGATACATGGTGCACTGTTTGCAACACTGAGTCGATGGATTGTACATAAATACATAATAATTGCTTCGAGCAAATAATTTTGGCGTACCATTGCTTTTACTAGACACAAGTGCGAATGGAGATGACAAGATAGTCAAACTGAGCACTAACGTAATAATTAAAGTAAAGTATGCTAATGAAGCCTCTGATGTTAAAAGTTCATAAAAAAACCGCTTAACATAGTTAAACTTCACATCCATCTTTAGTAATGATATTTAGTCAGTATTTAATTGTTCTGAGCTCACTTTTAGAACACCTTTATAGTGTCCGTTGTTTGAGCACTTGAGTGAACTCATGCAATAAAAAAAATTTTTATACGTACATGTATTTATTTATATAGTTTTTTCCTATACATAAACCACTAACACTTCGAATCAGGATGTTAGAACTTGTTATTCTAACAATATTATAAAGGTTATTCATGGCTTAATCTAAATAAAAAATATTGCAAAATTATCTTTTATATTATTAAAAATCTATTTCCATTTCTTTATAATTTTTAATTTTTTCTTTCGAAATTGTTTTCATTCCTTCCTCAAGGCATATGAGAGTACAACTTATTATTGGTTTTAGTTTAAAATATTTGTTCACGAAGGCCTGTTCAAATTTATAAATATACTTAATTAGTATATTTGCAATTCGTTCCAATTAAGAGAACTGTCTGTTTAAAAAACATTAGGGACTAACAATACTTCAGAAATATAAGATAATCCGTTTATGGAAGCGATATCAACAAATATACTTTTTCTGAAAAAGAAAAAAATATTTAATTTTATTTATAATTTTTTTGCTTATGGTTTTTTTTTTTATTATTCTGATATATAATTTTTTTATAGAGAATTTTTGACTATAGTGAATTACATCAAGAAAAATTTTTCATTTTTTAATTAATTTTTATTTTTTACTTATTGTTATTTATCATTTTTTATTTATTGTTTCTTTGCTAATATTTATTTGTTTATAATTGATATTTATTATTTTTTTATTTACTGTTTTTAATTTATCATCTTTTTTATGGTCAGAATTTACTTAATTAAAACTAAAAAATTATTTGAATTTGAAAATTTCCCCTTACCCCCTTTTCCATTCGATCTACATATCTTGTCAAACGACAAAAATAATTTTTCGAGACGGACGTGTATTGAAAGTCGGACGTGTATTGAAATACAGCTTCTGTTAATTAATTTAATTCAAACTGAAATAACATATGAACAAAATTTTGCGAAAAAGACGCCTTTTCTAAATCCTTAAATAAAAAAAAGTGATTCCAAGTTTTCTTTTATATTTTAAAACCATTAAAAATGACTTTTCTTTATTTATTGGGCCTATTTACACTATCGTGAACGTAAGGCACAGAACATAATGTTTTAAAAATAATATATTAATGCCATCCAATTCTGGTGATTTAAATCTAAAATCAGGTAAATTTAACAAAAGTGAGAGTACCAATTTTTTGAAAATAATGGACAATGTCAAATCACCTTAATTCCCGCGCAAATAAACACTACATACTCCAGTGAGTACATCGATATTCGAATCGGTAAAAAACTCAAATATAGAAACACAAACTCTTGCCCACGAAAGCACTATATTAAATAAAAGCTCTTCATTGTTGAGGAGTAAAAGCCCACAAATACTGGTAAAGGGTCAGCTTTGTAGACTGGTATTGATCGATACATTTATATTAACAGAAGATCAGATCCAGTAATTACAAATCAAACAACGCAAACAGATATTTACCAAATAAATCCTATAATGCAATCGCTTGGCAACACTAAATCGAAAACTGCCCTACCTTGGAGTACCAATGCAAGACATCAGAAACAAGCGAAATCCAAAAAGTTATAGACATAGTTATAGACGAAAGTGATAATAAAAATATAGGAATCAAAATAGTAGACTCAGCTAACCCACCACCAATATTATTAAGAGAAATAAGCTCTAATGAAACAGTAAAATTGCTGTCTAGCCTAAGAGGGAAAAATAACTTTTTTATTGCTCCAGTAAAAAAAGGTAAAATAAATGAAACAAAAATACAAGTGTATAAAGAAGATCACTTTCGACAAGTAATTAATGCTTTTGAGGAACGCAATAAAAAATTCTACTCTTATCAACTTAAATCTAGTAACATAAACGTCTTATTGGAGTAATCAAAGGTATAGATCCTAAATTTGATCCAATTGAAATACAAGAAGCTCTTGAAGAACTACACTTTAATGTAAACAGCGAACTTACAATTATAAATAGACAGCGTATACCTCAGCCCTTCTTCAAAATCGAACTTAAGACTGATTGTAAAAAAAACTTGAAAAAGGTGAAATACATCCTATTTATTCTCTAAGGTATTTACTTCACAGGAAAATTGTGGTTGAAGGACCCCATAAACGTAGAGAACCAATTCAATTTCTTAATTGTCAGGAATATGGACACTCAAGAACATATTGCAATCTAGAAAGTATATGCGTGATATGTTCAGAATATCACCCAACTGAAAAAGGTCCGCAGAACAAAGTTGACGATAAATATAAATGTTGCTTAAATTGCGGTGGAAACCATACAGCAAATTATAGAGGTTGCCCTGTATTCATTGAACTAAAACAAAAAATTAAAAATAAAGTAAGTAGAACTCAAGCGAATACAATAAATTCTGCTAATATTTTGCCAAATCAATTTACTATAATGTAATTAAAAATTCTGCAACTTCTTCAAATAACAAACCAAATCTGCATTCATATGCAAACGTTGTTAAGAATACTCCAACTAACAGCAATAACTCTGAAATCACCAATATGTCTTTAAACACTGAATCAATACTTTCATCCTTTATTCAAAAAATGGACAATTTTATGGATTGGATGCAAGAACTGATGAATAACATTACACAAAGTATGATTCAAAACCAAACTCCTATGGCTTTATCGTTAAAGGCCAAATGAATGCGCCAACTGTTTGCGATTGGCACGATAAAGGTTTAAGTCAACACTCACTAGAATTTCAAGATTTCCTATATAGATATGACATAGATATTATGCTGTTATTAGAGACCCATTTGAAGCAAAAAAATTGTTTATTTGTTGTAAAGCAAATAAATAGTTATAAATATTATGACGACAAACATCCAGATAAAAAAGCTGATTTGATTGACTTTGGTGTTATTAAAGGACTAAATAGAAAATATATAACTGCAGT